CCCGCGGAGGGCGATGCATGCCGGCACCAGATTGATAGATCGATTGACTAAATTCTCATCCGAGGCCCAGGACAATAAACAAACTGATCCGGTGCTCGACAACCCTTCTTTCTCATTTATGCAAATACCTGGAACGCGAAAGTTTTCATTCATACAGCCTCACTCATGAAATGTACAGATCAAAATTTGAGGGAGTGGTTTAACACACTAGATCGAGCTCGAGTTCTGTTCTTGCACACCTTGTCGATATGGATCACCGAGTCGATCCTAACGAAGCCCTTTAGGTTGTCTACCGGACATCAGCCAACTTCGCTAAGGGCCTACGCCAACGGGTGCTAGCAACAGCCGAGGCAGCGAATCCAGTGTTATTTTGGCAGAAGACGGTAATACAGACACTTTCACTTTCACGGCGACTGTTCAATTGACCCAATTGTGAAAATTCGGCGGCCTCAATGGGACTTGAACCCAGTCCAGCAAGGAGGAGGCTTTAGTACAGCCAACGCCCTAGCCAACTGACCTATCGAGGCCCCATGGAGAGGCGTGATTTGAATCACACATGTATCAATTTGCCCGCCCAGTCTACTGTGACGTGTGCAATCCACCAAGTTTGATACAGTAAGCTGACTGCCCAAGGAGGATTCCCTAAGCAATCGATCCATAATACACCAGATGACTACCAGGCACACTTAGTAGTAAAAATTCCAGTTCAACTTTGCCTTAATGAAGAGCCAACAGGCAAGCAGCGAGCCGTGCTCACGGCAGGCTATCGATCCGCCTACACGCGACGAACGCAAACTGGCAATCAATCAATAATTTAAAATTTAAAGCTGCGGCTGTAGTAATACACATGTTGCTGAGATTGAGGGGATATGAATCTTGTGCTGATTTTAACCAGCGCCACTTCTGATTTACAACACAGACTGAAATAGTACCAGCGAACATATCACTCAGTTGCATGCTCCCTTAGAATCGGGCTAGACACCTACTATAGGTGAGTGAGGGTAGACAC